CTGCGACTACGACTGCGACTGCGACTGCGACTGCGACTGCGACTGCGACTGCGACTGCGACTGCGACTGCGACTGCGACTGTACTACTACTGCTTCAGTGTCTGCTGCTGCTGCTGGTGCTGCTGCTGCTGCTGCTGCTGCTGCTGCTGCTGCTGCTGCTGCTGCTGCTGCTGCTACTGCTGCACCACTACTGGCACAACGACAACACCGCCACCAGCAGTAGCAGAAGAGTTGCAGAGTGAGTCAGCACAGAGAGTTAGTTCAGGCAGAGCAATTGATTCAATTGGCGCAGTGGTGAGTTGTTCTAGCAACTAGCAGAACCAGCAGGAGGATCATCCTTCCAAATAATCTGATCCCAGAGCTGGCCAGGGGCAATGTCACACTCGGCACACTGTTGACGGAAGAGCTCCATCTCCGCCTCGATGAACTCCTTGGACATCTCCTTGGCATAGCCTCCTGTGGTTTGGGTCTAAGACAGCGCGGTATCTCAGGCAATGCCTCGTCACACAAAATACGTAGTCCTGTCCCGGAGCCATCTTCCTCAATCTGGACCTCCAAGAACTCGCCTTCGAGAACAGTTTCACTTAGACAGAATTACCGCAAGCCTCAACTCTGGGCTTTCGTTACAGAGTTGTACAAAGAGATGCTGCTCCCCAAATACTCCAAATTACTCGCAATGGTTGCCCTGCCTCCTGCAGAAACCACCTGTTCTCGGGTGGCCGGACGCACGTCAAAGGCGCGGACGATGCAACCCATGTTCTTCGCCTGCCTTATGAAAATCGCGCAAGCCGAGGACACCCGGAGTCGCTTCCTTTAGATAGGGCACTGGATGGCAGCAAGCCCCGCCACACCTGCGCCAATCACGAGGACCTGTGCGAGTTGCTGACGGCCAACGGAAGTCAAGTCGCACGCTTGACAAAAGAACTGCCGCTTCAATTCGCAGCCTAGCCCCCGCGACAGATTTGAAAAACCGCTCTTGACAAATCCACTACGCCAGAGAACCGACGCGAAGCCTACAGACCTCAAAGTGACTGCGGTGTCAGGAGCCACTGCGGCCAAACATCTGTAAGATAGGAACAATGGCATCCCGGTGCCAGCCACCGACAGAATCCACCAATATGCCGTCTACAGTTGGCAGCCGTGGGCTCCAAATCTCCTGGCCTGTTTTGTATGGACCCAGCCTTCCTCCTCAGATGTGGACATGAACCTCTGGAAAGAACATCCGGGATCCCCGACAAAATCCTGAAAATCCCAAAAGCCTGAACCTCACCCGCAAACCAAAAGCACTTCACACTCGCCTTGGCTGGCTCTACCTTGCCAGCAGCAGTGAACTGCCCGGCGCAGAAGCGTCCGTAGTGATGGCTGGCCTGCTGATATACGCGAGTCTAACAATGGGAAGTAAACGAGCTACGCTTACCTGACTTTACACGCTCCAATGCCAGCTGTGCTAGCACATTCCCAAGGACCGACCTGGGTTCTGATCATCCGAAGTTGGGTTACACATCGTCATCGTCTTCTTTGGTAGTGGTTGAAGGGTGGTAGCGCTGATAGTGGTATGGTAGCAGCAGTCGTCGCCGCAGTCGCAGTCGCAGTCGTCGCAGTGGCAGTAGTCGTAGTAGTCGTCGTCATCGTAGCGGTGATACTAGTGCTACTGGCCAGTGCTGGTACCAGCAGTACTGGTACTAGTCCTAGCACCAATACTACGGTGGATGGACGAAATCCTGCACCACCCGTGCATGCATACTCGATTGAGGCAGCAAGCCCCGCAAGCTAGGACTACTTGAGCAGTCTGTGCAAGATTTCTGCCACTGCAACAAATCCGGCCCGTAGCCTTTCGCAGCCAACGTTCAAACGGGGGTGCGGGGAAACACCAAAAGACTTTCTGAAAAATGGTGCAAGATTTTGTTCATCCACAGTAGTACTAGTCGTCGTAGTGGTAGTGGTAGTAGTGGTAGTGGTAGTGGTAGTTGCACCAGTGGTAGCAGCCGTCGTCCTAGTTGTAGCTGTAGTCGCAGTCGTAGGTAGTACTAGCAGCAGTAGTCGTCGGTGTAGTAGTTTTAATAGAAGCAGAAGCACGAGTAGAAGTAGTAGTAGTAGTAGTAGTAGTCGTCGTCGTCGTCGTCGCCGTCGTAGTCGTAGTCGTAGTTGTAGTGGTGGTGGTGGTGGTGGTGGTGGTGGTGGTGGTGGTAGGAGGAGGAGGAGGAGTAGCAGTAGTAGTAGTAGTCGTCGTCGTCGTCGTAGTCAGCAGTAGTAG